TAGATAGTGTGTGTGTGTGTGTGTGTGTGTGTGTGTGTGTGTGTGTGTGTGAGAGAGAGAGAGAGAGAGAGAGAGAAAGAGAGAGTTCATTACTCTTGCTGATCCCCACAGAAGAAGGCTGTTCAGGTTGGTTAGGATTTTGCTTTATTTTCCATCAGTTCAATGAAAGAGAAAGAGAAGGGAGAGATTTTCAGACCTGATCAAATATACTCGATGGAGCTGCACGGCAGGTCTTGAAGTTGAAGGTGATGTCTGGAATTTGGGTTTATGGAAAGGAGGCGTAGTTTGAGCATCCTGTGGACACCTCTTTTTCCCTTCATGACAGAGGAAGGGAATCCTGGGGAATTATAATAATTCTGGCATAATTCTAATGAGCAAACTTGCTCTCACCTCCTTCCTGCACGTCCATTTCTGATCGCACCTTCTGATTACACCCCTCCGCCCCCATACCTGTATTTTACTACAGTGCAGACAGCAGCTCAGGAGCCAGCTGTGTTTTTAATAAAAGGCACGCACATTTACATGGAGCCCATCTTTTGATCAACTGAGGACTTTTGCTTTCGCTAAAAAAAACCAGTTAGTATAGAAATAAAAAATGTCAGGTGCCTTCATGGAACCATTTGTAGCAGCGTCTTTTAACATTCATATTTCTTTAATTATAGATTATCCACATTCAATAGTAGAAGATGGGGAGGGGAATACCTTTCACAGCGAGGTATTAGTTTAGTTCCATTTCACTGTCGACGTGATTTGGCTTGAGCGGGGTATGGTACGTGATACGATCATGTCTATCACACTGCATACATGGATCACGGAAGCAACTCAGTTTGTGATCCTAACAGGTAGATGGGCCAGTGAGAGAGAATGAGGATCTGATTGAATGTATTGGCTGGTGGATGGGAGACGACCGAAAAGATCAGTGTTCTCTCAGTACCTGCTCCTATCCCTGTGAGTCCTCCTTCCTTCTCCTTCAAGTGTTGGATTTTCTGGGGAGGGAGGAGTTAAAAAGCCACTCAGCCCTCGGATCCAGTTGAGAAAGTCCATTTCCCTTTCAGCTCCTTTCCTCTGGGCTGAGTATGGAACCCCTACACCTCGTCACTTTGCTACAGCTGTGTGTGACTTTCCGTTTCAGTCTTCCCTCCAGGCGAACCTATCGGGGGCATCATTATTGACCGTTCTCCCTCACCCATTCAGCCAGGGTTTGTGTAATTAATCAAATCCCAATAGGGGGTAGTGAATTGCGCTTCCTCTGCTGCTGCTGGGATCCTCCACTACCAAACGGGTCAGAGGAAAGAAACTTTCAGTGCAGTCAGATCCTTTTTCCTTTTCCCCACCCCAGATGTAGCTGAATGTCTAGGTAAGTGCATTTCAGAGGCTCTACCTAATTGCTGTTATTAATTGTATTGTTATTATTATTATTATTTATTTATTAATCACCCCCCGCCCCCCGAACGGTAAGGTGCAAAATGAGGAGAGGGGATTTCATTTGTGCATCACCTACAAGCTGTTAAATGTTTGCACTCTGGAAAGGCGATTTATACGCAATCTCCCAGGGTGAATGGCACCCTCTATGCCCTCGGAGGGGGGTGGGCACGGGTTAAGGTATAGCATTAGGGAAGCTGACTTGGTTAGAGCACGTTCAGTTGATGGATGGTGGGAATGCATCGGAAATAAGAACTGACATAGGTTGGCCCGTGTGGCTTTTTCATACTTTACTGGAGGAATAAAAAAAATCCTTTGCATACAAACACCAAATAAATCAATGCAATTAATGTAGTCTAAATGGGCATTTGCAGCCATCAAGCATGAGGCATGCTTAATAGAGAAGATTCCCATTAGCCTTAATGCTTCATTTCCAGCGTTCAACAGTTCTAACCAGAGGAAACCCGCTGCTCACCACACCATCAGGATAGATGACTCAGATCTGTAGCCTCATTCAACAGCCTGACACTCTCCCCTCCCCCCCCCCGTCTTGTTTTGTTTTAAAGGCGTGATAGTGCGTAAATAAAATTAACTCCCTTAGGGGGAAAGACCTGCAATAGCCAGCTTGGTTTCCTTTAGGTTTGTATAATAGCCTTCCTAAATTGTCTTCACTGCCAAAGATCACCAGAGCTATCATCAATCATCATCATCTCCCCTCAGTAGCTTCATGGATCCTGGGCTCAGATCCTGTTCCAGATCTTAAAATGATTTTGAATCTTCCATTGTGAGTGATAGACACTAAGGTAGAGGTGTCTTTAGGGGGAGTTAGTTTCCTGTCTCCTTTATAAACACACTTCACAAGCAAGTAGGGCTGACCATTAGTCTGTATTTGAATTCTACTCAACTCTTGAAAGTTTTGCTTTTCTTTTGGGCGGTGGAAGAGGGGGGAGGAGGGAAGTACAGAGCTCTGATAGTGTCTGTCCTTCACCGGCAGAGGGCGGGGTTCCCAGAGTGGAGTGAGTGAGTTACTTTTGCAGCCAGGCGGCGGCAGACTCTTGTAGTCTCTGACGGCTGGAGTCCTCTTTCTCGGAGTCTCTCACCTTAGAGGTCACTTTGCTTTGCATCAGTTTGAGGAGCACAAAGTGACCTGCACCATCTTGCATTACCCCTCCCAAAGAAAAAGCCTGCTTGAGAATTATCCAGGGGATTTGTTGCCTGCTATCTCTCCCCAGAAGATGAGGATGTATCAATTTGTGTAAGCTTGCCAAATCTACGTGCACTGGGGTTGACCAGAAAGAGTTAATAAAGATTGCAGGCTGCTCCCAGCATGAATCCTATGTGTACCTCATAGCTATAGTAGCCAATCATAGGCAACAGAGGTATGAACTATAGGATGGTGTAAAAAGCAAGGTGAAGAAATTTGGGTGTAAATTGTCACAGCACATTGGACTACAGGAGTCTGGGCTGTCTTGGCTTCTGATCTCTGTGCACTTACAGACCATCATGCATTTTAGCAGGTAAGGGTTTTGTTACCAGCAATCTATACTGTGTCTTATTTCTGCATTCATGTGCATTTTCCATGTACATTTCATTAAGTGTTTAATTGCATCCTGCCCTGAATTACTCCTTCACAAACTATTCCATATCATTTCATTTTGGTTGATTGCACCATAAAATTGTTACTCTTCTAAAAGGGGGCCTGGGGAAAACAGTAACATGATATAATTTAATGTGGGTGAGGCATTTCTTAAGGCTGTATTAGTTTAAAATGTTAATTATTTCAGTTAGAGAAGAAGTAAGCATATGGAAAGTGTATTTGTGCAGTATGGTAATTCATAACTGGCATAAAAATATAATGCATGTGCTGAGTGAAAAATGTTCTCTGTATAGTATTGATATCTGCCACAGATCCCCACCAAATAAAGGCCACTTTGAGGCAGACTTACAATAAAATAAATCTTTTGTGCACCCTCAGTTAATTAGGGACACAGCTGTTTAGCTGGCTCACAAGTCTGAGAGAAGAAACCATAATATATTATTTGCTAGAAACTCTCATGTCTAACTCTTCTTTTAAATGTTACACAAGAGAACGGTTTTTTTTAAACAAACAAAATATCTATTTTTTAAAAACAGTGTAAGTGGCACACTAAGTATATGTGGATAAATGTACATTAACAGTATAAAGAGTAACTTCAACATCACAGGCTGTATAGATATTGGAGTTTAGGTAGTGCTGTCAATGCTCAAACTTCGAAGTGTAGTACACTCCTATTATTAAAAAAATTAGATCTGGTAGCATAGCTGTATGGTATGATATGAAGAGGCTTTGCTTTGAAAATACTGTAGAAATGTTTAAATTGTAGTGGAGGAAGCAGTAGTCAGACTCTGTTGCATTGCTGTTTCAGAGATATCACAGTTTCATATACAGACGAGATGCGAGGTGAAAACAAATCTTGCCCTGAATTATTTTCTCTTTAAATCTTGTATATAAGTTTAGGGGGGAAATATTTGGTGTTATATCCTGTAGCCTTATAACCACCTGCACAGAGAAGAGATAAATCCTACAACATACATTTATCAATACAGTTTCTGCATTTCGAGTGTTCACTCATGAAATGATGAAGCATTGAGAATGAAAATGTTAACTAGCAAACAAACAGCTGAACATTTTACAGATCTCACTGCAAAAGGCAGCGTTTGTACAACTAACAATCGCAACAACTTGAGAATCTTTGAGCAATATAATCACTGTCTATTTCTCCCTTATTCTTTCAATTACTAAGTGTCTGAGTTCTATTGTGAAGAATTAATTACACTAGCCCACTAGTTGTTCATGCCAACCTGTGTTTGAGAAGTTTTTTTTTTTAATTTATATAAATGATAGTGACTTTCCACTGCTCTCAAAATACAGGAGATACATGTTGACTTATGGGACTAAAATAGTTGATTTCATTTGGATTAGTTTGAAATCAGGTTTTCCTATTTGACTTTGATCAGTCTAGAAAACATCTACTTTTTTAAATTAAAT